TTTTTTTTTTTTTTTTTTTTCTGGGGGCTGAGGTGAGGTTGACTTGTCTCTAGCTCCCTGGGTTCTCCTTCTTCCCTTTCTTAAAATGGACACCATGTTTTGCCCTTTTTCCAATCATCTGGGACTTCTGATTGCCATGAATTTTCAAAGATTGATGGCCAATGGCTCTGCAGTCATATCAGCCAACTACCTCAGCACTCTCGGGTGCATACCATCCGACCCAATGGACTTGTATATGTCCAGCTTCTCTAAATAGTCCCTAACCTGTTGTTTTGCCCCTATTGGCTGCTCACCTCCTCCCCAAACTGTGCTGCCCAGTGCAGTAGTCTGGGAGCTCACCTTGCCTGTGAAGACTGATGCGAAATAAGCATTGAGTACTTCAGCCTTTTCTGCATCCTCTGTTACAAGATTGCCTCCCCCATTCAGTAGTGGACCCACACTTTCCCGCTCTTGCTACCGACATACTTGTAGAAACCCTTCTTGTTACCCTTCACATCCCTTGTTAACTGCAACTCCAAATGCACTTTGGCCTTCCTGATTTCATCCCTGTGTGCCAGAGCAATGCGCTTATACTCCTTCGTAGTTGCTTGTCCAACTTTCCACTTCTTATCAGCTTCTTTTTGCGATTAATTTATTGAAGAGTTCCCTGCTAAGCTAAGCTGGTCTCCTGCCATACTTGCTAGTCTTCCTGCATGTCAAGATGGTTTGTTCCTGCACTCTCAGTGAGATTTCTTTAAATTGCAACCAGCGCTCCTGGACTCCTCTCCCCCTCAGACTGGCTTCCCAAAGGATCCTGCCCATGAGTTTTTCCTAAGCAAGTCAGTCTGCTTTTCTAAAGTCAAGGGTCAGCATGGTCTTGAAGCATGGAAATGTTTAATAAGGCTTAGCTCTCAACAGAGGTCACTTTGAACTTGGCCCACACTACTGCAGCTGCAGTCCCTGCTATCCTATCACCACCTCAGCCCAGTGGTGAGGAGAGGCAGTAGCAGCAGCACAAAGCCCCCTGCAGAAGGCCAAAATGCCACAAAAAGGCCCCCAGCTCCGTGGGTTGGATAAAATGGGTCTGCAGGGTGAATTCATCCTCTGGGCCATAGGTTGCCAGTCTCTGAACTAGGTGGTCAGATGGTGAATGCTGAATCAGTTCTGTTTCTGAGGCTTCTGCTGTTTGTCTGTGTTTGCAGTTCCTGCATATAGTGTGGGGTTTGAATCTTATGCATGCAGAGAGACCATGCTCCTCGGAATTTAATTTCAGCCATGGTATGTTTAAAGGTCCTTGGCAGCCTAACTGAAAATCAGTTGTTTTTTTCTTTCACAGATGGATGCAGGGAATCGTAGCTGCACAGTGTCTGTACACTGTGGCAGCCACATAGTCACGATGCTGGTGATGTTCCCTGTACAGTATCCCAATAATGCTGCACCTTCCTTCCAGTTTGTCCAGCATACCAATATCACTCCTCCAATGAAAACAAAGCTGCTTAAGGTATGTGTATGCATGTATATGTGGTCTCTATAAAAGTACTTCATTGTGTCCCGACTGCTGCAGTGACATGTTTGACTTCTCAGGTCCATGACTGGGTCAATGACCGCTGCCTGCACTTAGACAGTGTCACTCAAGAGTTGATGTACTCCAGAACTTGGCATGTGTTTCATTGGCACTAGTTAGGCCTCATCTAGAGCAGTGGTTTTCAACCTTTTTTGTACCAGGACCTATTTATAAAGATCAGTGGCTGGTCCTGACCCAGTAAATAGATATCTAGATAGAGGCTAGATAATCACCTAGCTGGGGTCATTTGACCCCAGCACTCTTTCCTGCCCATGACAGAGGGTCGGACTTGATGACCTGCTCAGGTCGCTTCTGACCCTACCAACTATACATGCTGAGCCGCTGCTCTACCAGCCACCATGACCCAGCCACCACTCCCCTCAGGCCACCCATTCTGCCTGTCACCCCACCTCCTCTCCAGGCAGAGCCATGACCTGAGGCAGGAGGAGATTAGGGCAGCAATGCCAACCCCCGCTTTGGTCCTCCCACAGTCCATTACTCCTTGCGCTGTTGGCAGCATGGATGTCGTAGGGGTCCTGGCAGCAGCAGCAATGAATCTTGCTACTCTGCTCTGCTGCATTGGATCCTGTCTGCTGGGCCATGGAGGCAGCTCCTGCCTGTGCTGATATTGCCAGGCTTCAGTCCCATGCTGGCTGCAGGCACACACATCTGGAGGGGGCACATGCCTCCCCATGCTCACCAACACATCACCTGTACCTTCTGTGGCAGAATGCCGTCTCTGTCTCTCCCCAAACTCTGCTATCAAGTGGGTGACCAATCTGACAGTTTGGTTACCATGGTCACTGAAGAGGGCAGATACCCCAGGCCCCATCAATTTCAGGTAACCCTGAGTTGCAACCTGAGCTGGATACGTTTCTGAGGGAGAAGGGAAACCTGCTCCCTTTGCCTGTGTCACTGGCCTCTCACGCCTGGGTAGGGTCTTAAACTCCCTATTGTTCTAAGCAATGTCATCATGACTGGGAGGGGGTTAGAGACCATGCCAGTCTACCTGGCAACCAGTGATGCATTTCATATTGTTTGGCTGGCAGCCAACAGTTGCTGGCCTTCATTGGATCAGGTAAATGAGGTCATAAGGTCTATATAAGTGAAGGACTGACCAGGAGGTGGGGCAGCAGCCATGATGAGACTCTCAGAGAAGCTGGACCATCTGAAACTCACTCTTTCTCTTGAAACTCATGGCCAATGAACTGCTTGCCTCCAAAGGAAATCTCCACCTGCCTCTGGATGATGCTTGTGAGTAAGCTGCTTGAGACCTAACTAGATATAGCTTGCAGTAACACAGATGCATAATCAAAGGCTACCATGCCACTGTTTGCTCTAAGGGATTTCTCTGACATTGCACTACCCTGTACCCTATTCCAAACCTACTCCTTGTAACCAATAAAGTTCTCCTTTGTCCCTAGCGTGGGAGACTTATTGGGAGAGGGGCTAGATTATGCCTTGGGGTCCCGTTGGTTCAGCTGGGTAAGGGAGACCCTTATTTGTGCTTCAGACTAAGGGAAGCACCCCAAGTTCTTGCAGTGGATCAAGTACCCTCAAGGACTACTGGGCCTGCGTTTCTGAGAGGGCACAGGGGCACAATCAGTCCAGACCTTGGGTGGTGGCTACCTTACCCCCGGGCTTGCAGGTGTGCTCCAAGAAGGGGGTCAGCTGGATGTGAGGTCCCCCCAGGGAGGCACTCAGAGCCTGGAAGGCGGTTGGGCACAGTGAGGCAGGTGGCTCAATGCAGGAGCACCCCCTACTGGTCCCCATCACCCTTTTGTGTTGCCTATGCCCCACCTTGCCCCATAGACTTACCTGCAGGGAGCTGTGGGAGCTGCTTTCCACACTGCCTGGCTGCCACTTGCATGTGTGTGCACACATACACATGGTATCCCCTGCTTGATTCTTTCTCCCACTCCCCCAGCCCCTTGCAGGTTCAAATTCTGCCAGCCTGCAAGGGGAACCTGCTGTTTCCCAAGGTTTTCTCCTTTTAAAATAAAAAATCCATGTTTTTCCATGGCAAATGGAGAATCCAAATCCCTGTTTATTAGTATGCACAGTATTAACATATAGTGAAGCACAAGCAGCATCTGTTTTTTTCAAAATGCAAAATATTGTCCATTTTTAAGTGTGTTTTGTGACCCTTTCATTAATTCTTATGGCCCACTTTTGGGTCACAACTCACAGGTTGAGAAATGCTGTTTTAGAATACTGTATGCAATACTGGTCTCTGCATTTTAAAAAAGGACATGGAGAAGTTAAGGTTTGCAGGCAGGTGGCAATTAATAAAGGGCTTGGAAGGCAGGCCATATGAGGGAAGATTGAAAGAAATAGGCATGTCCAGCTTACAGAAGGGGTGATTTATGATGGTAGGCTTGTAATATCCAAAGGGTTGCCATAAAGAAGAGGGAGAATGCTGTTACTGTGGAGAACAGGATGTGAACCTATGGCATAAAGTTGTAGCAAAGTAGATTGGATATAAGGAAAAACTTCACTGTTAAGAGTGAGGCAGTGAAATAGACTGTACAGGGAAGTTGCGGACTCTCCATAGTTGGAGGTTTTCAAGAAGAGGTTGGATAGCATTGATCAGGAATGATCTAGGAGTAGCTGTGCCTTGAGTGCTCTGTAAAAAGCAACAGTTGAAAGCCCAGGAGCCTTGCTCATCTCCCACACATCACTGAGAGATAATGAGAAGAGCTCTGTAGCTTAGAGACGGATACTGGCAATTACTATATTCAGCAGCAGGTGAACAAAACAAATCCACAACTGGCTTTATAATGAAAGAAGATTAAAGGACCTGGAATAAGATTATGTAGTGGATACAGAAGAGTTTAGGCTGTCTGGTAAGAAAGTGTGATGTGTGGAATTGTGCTTGCTGTCCCCAGGCTGCAGAACAGAATGGAGGTGGTTTAGTGTTTTCCATGCAGTGGGCTTTGCTGCTTGCCTCAGGGGGCTGGAAAGATTTTTTTTTTTTTTTTTCTCCTTCTGTTGCTACAGGTGTCATGGGACGGCTGGGATGTCCCTTCCTCAGATGCGCTGGGTGCTGGTTGCAGCCAAGACTGGGAATTTTGGCTGGTGTATGCCAGTGTTCCTACTGGGATTAAAAATCTTGGCTAGGGGGAGCCCACCTTTTCTCTGTTGCTGCAGAGAATAAAATGTGGATCAGTGATTTGCAGTTGCAATCAAGTTAGGTTTAGATTAGACGTGAGGAAAAACTTCTTCACTGTTAAACCGGTGAGGCAGTGGAACAGGCCGTTCAGGGAAGCTGTGGAATCTCCCATCACTGGAAGCGTTCAAGAAGTGGTGGGGCTTGCACTGGTCAGGTGTGATCTAGGCATAACTATGCTTATGTTCTACTCTGGGGAATCTCCCATGTTTCTGGGCTTTGCCAGTTGCCACATGGGACCAGAAGAGAATTTTTTCCCTTCCTGCTGCTATATATGCACCAGGATCTTTTTAACCTTCCTCAGAAGCACTGCGTGTTGGCTGCAGCCAATGCTGGAGATCTTGATTGGGGCATGCCAGTGCTCCTACCGGTACTGAAACCCAGAGGTTCTTGGCTAGAAGGTCTTGCCTCTGTGCTCAAGGTTAGACTGACTTGCCACATTTGGGATCAGGAAGGAATTTTACTCTGTGGTCAGACTGGTATGGACTTGGGGTTGTCTTCCTCTGTAGTGGAGGAGCATGGCTGTCTCTCTTGGAGCTCTCCAGTATATTTTAACAACCCTTGTGGCAGCAAAATACTAACTGTCGTTCCCCTGTTTTACCTGTAAGAGGCTAGGGTGCTGTGCAGGCAGGGGGCTGGATTAGATGGCCTCCTAAGGTCTCTTTCATGCCTACTTTTCTTTGATTTAAAAGGGCGAGTTTGAGTGCAGTAAGGTGAAAAATTCCTGGGCTTGTAGTTTGTCTATCTTTGGTACTTTTCTTGTCCCTATGGCTCCTAAGGTCTGAGCACTTCACAGCTTTTAATGAACTTACCACAACCTCCCTGCAAGGGAAGGCAGTCCTCTGTGCCACTAAAGTGATTTAGTGGCCACGGTCATGCAGGAAGTCCTCAATATAGAAGTGAACTGAACCTAGGTCTCCCAAGGCTTAGGTTAGTGCCCCAACTTTTTTGAATTGTAGTAGTGCAGTTTCTTGTTTTTCCTGAGAAAGTAGGGTAATTGGTTAGTCACCTCAGGTATCTGTACACAAACACACAGAGCCTGGGAAACAAGCAGGGAGAATTAGATGTCCTTGCACAATCATGGAGCTATGACATTATTGGAATAACAGAGACTTGGTGGGAGCTCACATGACTGGAGCACTGTTATGGATAGGTGCAAACTGTTCAGAAAGGACAGGCAAGGGAGAAGAGAAGGAGTTGCACTTTATGTAAAAGAGCTGTACGATTGCTCAGAGCTCCAGTATGAAGCTGGAGATAACCCAGATACTTTCAACAGCATAATGTTAGAGGGGAGAGTAACAAGGGTGATGTTGTGACAGGTGTCTGCTATAGTCCACCAGACCAGGAGGATGAAGTAGATGAGGCTTTCTTCAGGCAACTGATGGAAGTTTCCTGATCGTGGGCCCTGGTTTTTTATGGGGGATTTCAGTCATCCTGACATCGCCTGGGAGTGCAATACGGCAGTGCACATGCAATCCAGGAAGTTTTTGGAGAGCGTTAGAGACAACTTCTTGGTGCAAGTGTTGGAGAGACCAACTAGGGCAGGGGTGTCCAACCTTTTTGAATGTGGGGCCGGATCATGAACTTTTTATCACCCAGTGGGCTGGCAAGCCATATTCAAACACCCTGTCCTGGGCCAGAGAGACCCTGCCTGTGTAGCCCTACTGCACCTGCCTGTTACTGCAAGGTTCGTGGTAGCTGCTGGTGGGCAGGGGCAGGAGGGACCCATTCTGCATCCAGCCAGCTACTGCCCCAGAGACTGAAGGGG